GGGGAAGAGGGGGGGGGGGGGGGGGGGGGGGGGGGTTATAATATATTTTGTTATCATAATTTAACACCTGATGTGTGAAATTTTTTGACCAAGTTTGTGAAATTTGAACTTGAATTCTTATAATATTATATATATGTTTCTTCCCCACATATGCTCTTTAAAACTAAAACGTAGCTTGAAAATGCTCTTAAAGCTAAAGTTACATGGGCCAAATTTATGAGCTTATTTCAATTTGGGCAAAAATATAAACCACCCCACGGCATGTTTGGTTGGAATTTGGACTTCTAAATTAATTTTGACCATCTTATAAGCACCCAAACATGCTCCACAAAAATTTTAATGGCAGAATTCTCCAAGTTGGCATTAATAAAAATTATACTTAAATTAAACCAAGAAACTATGCAGGCCTTATCTACGAACGAACAACCGTACAAGGCACAAATCAGCTCCATAAGCCAGTCATATTTGAAATGAAAATTAAGCGAGCTTAAATCTTCATGAAGCCTCTACTTGTATAAAGGGGAAAATAGGAAGATTATAATATAATTCTAGAAATAAAAATGAAAAAGAAAAAGGTTACATTCCAATACCGATGGTGATTGGTTAAGTAACAAAAATATTGCATTTTCAAGCATAAATGGATCAGGTTTGATCTTTTACTGCCATCAATGATCAGCAACTTGCAGACTCCAGTTAGATGCCATGAAACAAGGTGCTAATCAAAAGGAAAGCTGGTTGTACTTGCATGTCAAAGCTGTTATAATACCATGTCTGAAGTATTACGATATTTATAGTCTATGCTTACAACACAGAAGCCACACAGACACTTTCCTCGGGTAAAGTGCATACCTCAAATGACTAATCCTTCGGGTTGCATCTGAGGTACGGTCCAAGGCAGTTTCAGCGTCAAACTTCATGAAGAACCCTCCTTATATAAGAGGTATTGGGGAAATCAACGGGCAAATATCACCATCAATATTTTTCCAACACTTCGAATAACCAAAACTCTTCCAACAATGGCAGAGCATGCAAAGACCAGATCTTGAAATCCAGGCAAAGCAGCTTCATCCAGAAATTAACATTTAATTCACGAATTGTCAACTTAGGGGAAAAGAAAGCAGTAACCCAATAATGGATATCTTGACATGGCTAACAGAAATTTATTGTCACACATTAAATCCATGCAAAAAGAGGATAACTAGACAAGAGGTGCTTTTCAAATGCACTTCATATAAAGGACAATAGCATGACTAGTCCCACAAGACACATTTTTGACTAGTTGGATGATAAAAATAATGCACCTATGGATTTTTCAAGCCACGCAATCATTTCCATTAATTCTCAATATGAAAGAAGACAGAATGCCTAAATCAAATAATTAAATTTCGGAGACTAATTTGGAAAAAATACGTTGATGATTAAAATGAAACACAAGAAGTAGAGTGACTAAGCAATCTTCCTAATCACGGAAGGCAAACCAAAATCACACTATGAATGTAATTAGAGAAGAGGCAGAACTTAACAGATTGCATGTAATGAACAAGAGGAAGACTACCTCAAAGTTGATGCCCCGTAGTTTCATATATCAGAAGCATTCCCTGCACTTCAAAACTGTGCATGCCAGATGCCTTCCAGTCTGATTCTACCCCCACCACCTTGCAGGTCAATATATTGCCTTGCCATAACAACAGAATGCGTAAACCCACGTCTTGCTATGAACAATAGAATGCATCATCCCATGTTGATACTACTACCCTTATCTCAGGTGAACCAAAAGTTGGGTTCAATAAAACAAAAAGTTTAATTGTTGAACACACATTTGTCCATCAGCCCATGTAACATATCAAAGTAAAGGTACAATCAACAAGATACACCAAGTTGTTTGAAAAAAGATTCTAACACCCTCACCCCTTCATCATAGACCTCTCCATTTTCTTCTAATGAGCTATATGTTGCAAAAGTAGACTACTAGGAACATTTTGCATCACGAAACTGCTGCTGGTGCAAAACAGTGACTCGGGTACATCCAATCAAGTCATCTGCATTGCATCTGTGTGATATTTCTCTAAATCAGCATCTAGATCTTCAGCAGATATTTTCTCACCACGACCTCTTCCTTGTCCACGCCCTCTTCCAAATCCACGACCTCGTTCACCACCACGTGACCTACCAAACCCACGTCCCCTGCCTTGAGCACTGTACCATCACCAAAATTTCAGAAATACAAGATTAAACAACCAAAATACCAACAACAAAAATAAAATTGTGGCTCAGCTCATTTTTCATTTTCAACTAGATAGATTGTTTGTCTATGAAATTATGTAGGTTGGGACATTTTTTGCATAGATTTAAAGAGGTATGTTCATATAGGTAATACAATTTCCATAGAACAGAGTAGAAGATGAAGAGTATGCTAAACCTAACATGTTCCATGGTAGTTTCTAAAGCTTCATTCAATACACACCGCAATAAATCAAAATGAGTGATGAAAAAACATTCATGGTCGATTTTAGATTGCAAGATATAAAGTTAATTTAGTTGTTATAGGTATTAATTTCATAGTTTGTTTCTTTGTTAAGAACTTAAATGACCAACTTTTTTGCACATTTTTAAGCTTAAAAAGTTTACTTATAAGTAGATAAGCTTTAAAGAAAACAATTTTTTTGTTGATCAAAATTAGAAACAAGTTTCTCATTGTGAAAGTGACATCCACTTCACAGTTCAAAATTAAAATAATAACATTTCACTTATAAGTATGGAAAAAGTAATTTATTCAAACATATTCAGCAACAAGTATACTTGAAAGTTTGTAACTTCCAGGCTTAACCAGACATGCTCGTCACTACAACTTTTATGAACAACTAGGTCATGATCTGCAATCATTGCTCTAAAAATACTCATGAAGATGATATTTTGATAACTAAATGGAATAATATTATGTCCAGGTAAGTGGTACATAGTTGTGGGATACAATATTCAGATCATGCACAAACAAAAATTAAGTCTTAGAGAAAAATATTTTAAATAAGTCATTTCGTGCCAGTAATTTGTTTTCCTTTCCACCATTAAAGATAATTCCAAATAATAAGAAAAAACAAAATATCACCATGTTGATTTTATTTCAGTTCACGTGCACAGAGAAGTGAATCCATATTAAATCATAGATAGATATTCATTCATGTTCACACAACCCAGAACGTCAACCTATAGCCACAAATGTCTTCACCATTGAATATTAAAGGTGTAAATACTGAAAAAACATGGACCATGTTACATGTATCGAATTTTTTACCTAATCCCTTACTGACTACTTACAATAAGGGGTGAGGACCACATTTTGGGATTTTTTTATCCACACGGGTCCTGTGTGCATGTGAGAGGAGGTAAACAATTTAGTACACCTTTGGGTAGAATTATTCTAGTTCAAGGATAATCAATAAATGGTTAAAGAATTGTCCTTCAAATGACAGTTGTCAGGTACTGTATCATTGTTCTCAAGGCAGCTCCTGATTTTTATATTTCTTGTTAACCAACGATCAAAACCTCTATCCATCCTTACCCATCATTAATCCCACAAGCCCAACGACTTCCTCCGGTTTCAGCCTCAGAAATATCTATAATTCGAGCTTTTAAAGTTCTATTCTTCCACTTCTCAAACAAAAGTTTAACCACACTGGTGATTTTTTCACAAGGCATGCCCTACCTCAACCATGCAATATAAGACTTTATTTGAGATCATTAGCAACAATCAGTGTTCTAAATAGTGCGCCAATGCACGCAAAGTGCTCGGCGCCTTATTTGGCAGTCAAGGTCGCGGCCAACGGACGCCAGGCAAGGCTAAGGCGCCAATGTGCGTTTTTTTCTTTTTCTTTTTTTTAACAATTCTTTTAAGTTAAAACTTATAATTATTAAACATTTTATAATTATTAAATATCTTTTTATTGATTAAAAATTTAAAATAATATTAAAATAAAAAGACGATTTTTCACGCATTTGCCTCGCCTAATCTCGCATTGCCCTTAGCTTGACATAAACGCATCACCACGCATTACGCCTTTTAGAACACCGGCAACAATACATATTAAAACATAGCTACAAACCTTCGAGGAGCTACATTTGAATCACGAAAAGCACCAGTAGATGGAAGACCAGCAGTGGGAATGTTAATGTTTGTTCCAACACGCTCTATTTTCATCGGTTTCCCATCAAGCTGGACATTATTGTACCTCTTGACAGCTGCTAATGCATCTTGACGTCTTGAGAAGACTACTTCGGCAGTACCCTAGAGAAAGAGTTTTTGCTAAACCACAACAAAACACAATTTTCACAGCAACACCAAATTAAGCAAAATTTGAACAATACCTTTGATCTCCCACTCCTATCATAGTGCATCGTATACCGTTTCAAGTCACCAACCTCCGAGAAGAGTTCCTGCAGAATAAGAAGACAATTCCCTTTTCAATAACACTATACTATATTATAAGTCTCAAAAACAGAACCTAAAACTAGAAAATTTAAACAGAGAGATGAGTAAAATCAATAGAATGAAAAAACAAATACGCAGCAAAGAATCACCTTAATATCCTCATTAGAGACGCCATAATCCAAATTCGATAAGTATAACTTCGTCCCTGTCTCAATATTAGAAGCTCGACCACCTCCAGCGAACACGTCATGACCCCAAGCCGATTCCGGGGCCTAAATTCATCAAAAACATAAGTACTCCTGCGCGTCGTGTATAAAATCAAGATCGACGGGAGAGAAAGATGGATCTGACCTTGGCCACGGCATATGGCGCGGCACGATTGGCAGTACGGTTGGGGACGCGGCGAGCGGGGCCAGGACCAGAGCCACGGCCTCTACCACGGGTGGAGGATTTCTTGTTGCTCTTGATTAGATCATCAAGTGTCATGTCAAGTGCAGCACCTGACATCTTCTCTGCGTTTGTATATACGCCGGCCGGCAGATGAGAAGGAGATCTGAAGAAGAACGTTTTAGTGTTTGGGTTTTGAGAGAGAGAGGCCGGAGCCCGGAAACTGGGAAGTATTTACGGATACGACTGACAAATTATTTGACAATAGATATATAGAAAGACCTAAAAGCCCTCCGTGCTACTCTATCCAAACAAATCAAAATGATTTGCATCAAATATTCTCTCTCCTCCCTCCTTTCTTCCTCCACAATTTTTTTCCTCCCATTTTCCATTCCACTCATGAGCACAAACTCAATTCTGCACTGAATTCTCCACAGAATTTTTCCCGGAGGATCCAAATTAATTTTCATTTTCCTCCGGAAATTCTCATGGCGAGGACTCTAATTTCCTCACCGTCTTTCCTGGGGATTCCTTTTCCTTCCTCCTACCGCCACCGCCTCCCGCCGCAGAGCAGATGTATAAGTACTAAATTGAAATATAGCCTCCACGAGCTTCCGCCTATTCATTCTTTTGATAATTCTATTGATTTTAACGCGATTGTTACCCGAGCTGAGGGCCTTCTCTATACACTGGCTGATGCTGCCGTGGCTGTTGATGGTGGCGCCGCATCTGAGTCGGCCAACGCCTCTGCTCAGAAAAGTGGAGGGTGGTTTGGATTCATTTCTGACGCCATGGAAGTTGTCCTGAAAGTAATTTGTGGTGTTACAAGTTTATTTGCAATTGAAGGAACTTGTTGCTCAGACAATTTGCGGTATATGTGCATTTCTTCGCTACTGCACTTAATAAAATTTGGAGTAGGTGTCAAAATTCTATCTTGTCAAATTGTTTTGATGCTCTCCATGGATTATTTTTAACCATTGATGTAAATGAATACCCCTCCACGATTTTTTCATGGTAATTTTCATACATTCCAAGTATTCTAATCAATTCACATATTGATCAAAACAATTGTCTATTCTCTAGTTATGGTGTTCCTCTTTGGCTTCGTTTAATCTCCGGCTTGTACTTTCCTTGATGTGAAGTTCACTCTCAACTTCATAGTTCTTTGTTTGCATACATGTATATTTAATGGAGCATATGCCAAGTGAATAGACATTAAAAATAATGGATTACAACTTACTATTTGTGGATTATTGAACGCTAATGGCTTCTTCGCTTTAAAAATTAGCAGGTAACATTTTGAAGAATGTTAACCTATTTCTGGTTCTTTTGATTGCTGTATATCCTATTTAAATTAAAGCTCAACAGGATGTTACAATTGTTGGTAGACAAGCTTTAGACATTGGATTTGAATAAAACCTGCTTTCTCTTTTCAGGTACTAAAGGATGGACTCTCTGCTGTGCACGTGCCCTATGTTTATGGATTTGCTATTATATTGCTCACTGTTATTGTTAAGGTCGCCACACTCCCTTTGACAAAGCAACAGGTGAAAATAAAGATGTCTACTCTAGTAAACCTGCTCCTGCCACTTGCTTAACTCTGGTCAATTTTATTATTTTTTAAATTGAGAGAGAAAATCTTATTTTTTGTGTATGATATAATCCCACTTTCTATTTCTGTACGTTTGCTCTTCCATTTTCTGGGTTTTGAATGTCGATAGTTGTTTTGAGTTAATGTTATCGCGCCTACTAATCGTATGGAAGGATTGTCTAATTTCATGTTGTTTTTTTCTTGTTTAAATTGATAATACACTTCCTGTGTATTCTCTTTTGATTAATAAAATTACCTGATTACCTATCTCAAAAAGAAAAAAAAAATATATATATATATATATATATATATTTGTTACAGTAAAATAATGTACATTTTCTTTTACGATAAGGTGGAATCAACACTGGCAATGCAAAACCTGCAACCGAAGATTAAAGCAATCCAACAAAGATATGCAGGAAATCAAGTGAGCATTTTTACACTATTTTATTATGACATAGCAATCTTCTTATGTATGAGATGTGATTTTTGAAATTCCTTTAGATAAAACCAACATACAGTATTGATAAAAGATGAATTTGTCATCATCCAGATATCACTATAGTGGTAGTAAGTAAGAATAGAAAGACAAGTAGTTGAGCTCTAAAAAACAGTGAGCAGCCAGAGATAAGTTTAGAAGCACAAGGAGATATTGATAAGTTTAGTTCCAAAATTCCATCTTGTGGTGATCTAAATCTTTCTATCATTCATTTTTTTTCCAGGAAAGAATCCAACTTGAGACATCCCGTTTATATAAACAGGCAGGGGTTAATCCTCTGGCAGGTATTTTTTAGATTAACAATTTGCATTTCCTTTCCTTTGAGTTGTCTCTATCTATGATTTCCGTACATCAGGTTTTTCTTCTTGTTTTCTAATATAACCTGATCTAAAGCATCCTAGAAGCAGAAGAGCTTATTTTCTTCATGATTTGCGTTTCTTTGAGTTGGTTCAGTTATTCGAGAGTTAATATTCTTTCCTCATAGATTTTACTTTGTCCTGTAATAAAATGAGCAAACCAACTCTATTCTCTTTCTTTGACAACCAAAAGAGAAAATGGAAAACTCTCAATGAGAAATAACTAAAAGACTTGGACCAACTTTGAGAGGAGGAACTAGAGACTTCAATTTAAAATTTGATTATGCAAGAAACCAGGAATTTAAAGTTTGTTTTTGCAAATGACAATGTCATTGCCAAAAGAAAGACTTTTAGCATAAGATAGAATGAGCGGTGAAAATGTTTCATGCAGTCGACCCCAAAGTTTATTTGGGAACAAGAATGAGTTTTTATTGTTTTTCTTTTATCTTTTTCTTCCCTTTTTAGGGGGGTGGGGCAGGGGTGAGAGTTTCCAATTGCACTATTTCTGCCCACAGTGCCATTTCCTTGTTAAAATATCTGGTCAAAGAAACTAACTTGGCACCTCTAAATTATCTATCTAGTTTATACATGTTTTCTCCTTCCTCATTTAACTAATTTCTTTTCTTGGAATAACAGGATGTTTTCCAACTTTGGCTACAATACCAGTGTGGATAGGTTTATATCAGGCTCTCTCAAATGTTGCAAATGAGGTACTCAGGAAGTTGCTTATTGGTATTTGAGTATTTGAGTATTCAGTATCATCTGATTTAATCACAGCAATCGATGATTTAAAATTGGTTTTTCACAACATTCTTATGCAGGGGCTGCTGACTGAAGGTTTCTTTTGGATTCCCTCTTTGGGAGGCCCTACAACCATTGCTGCTCGGCAAAGTGGATCTGGAATTTCCTGGCTATTCCCATTTGGGGTAATGGAATCTTGATAGTCTCCAGAGTTATCAACTAACAATTGGCTTTCTTGCTTCTTTTGCTGCCTTTGTTTCTCACACAATCCATTTCTCTTCTTTCGTGTCCCTGAAATCCTCTGCACATCAAAGATACATATACTGAGATATGATGTGCTGCTTGGCTCCATGAAAAATACAAGTGACATGAATCTTGTGCTTTAAATTTTGCAGGATGGACATCCACCACTTGGTTGGCATGACACTGCAGCATACCTCGTTTTACCTGTTCTCCTTGTGGTTTCTCAGTATGTCTCAATGGAAATCATGAAGCCTCCCCAAGTAAGATCTAACATAAGTATAACCTTTTCTTTTCTACAATTTTTTTCTTGCATGTTACTCTGTTATCTGAGTCTTGTTCTGGTAGACAGACGATCCATCTCAGAAGAACACACTTCTCGTATTGAAGTTTCTTCCCCTCATGATTGGTTACTTTTCTTTGTCTGTCCCATCTGGATTATCAATATATTGGTAAGCTGGAGCACTACTTATCTATATGAGTTTATTATTTCTTAATTTTTGTGCTGCAGTTCCATATATGGTAATCATGATCAGATCTGCTCAGGCCATGCATGCGATGCACTATGACATGCACCACTCCAGTTAGATTTTATAAATAAAACTCACCTCAATTTTGATAGTAAGATATGGATCTGAACACAATAGATGTACACCAAGTCTAAACTTACCTTAATTTAGACCAAGTTGGATGATAAATTGAATAAAACCTGGGTTTAGCAACCTTAAATATTTTCCTCTTATCTCTGAATTTTTCGGCAATAATTTTTTATTGGCATGGATGAGTCTCCACATTTTGATTATATGATTAGTTTTTTCCTTTAATTTTTTGTGGACATCTCGTCCTGTCTATTAGTTTTTCTTATTAGTGACTGTCATTTCTATCCAAGAGAAGATGCATGCCTGTCAAGATGTGATTTATTCATACAATGTATCACATGACATATGATTTATGCAATATACCATTATTATCAACGGTTAAATGGTTATATATACATAACTTTAATCTTACAATGTCACATCGGGAAAAGAATAAAGAATATTAAATAGGCACAGTTTTGAAATGCAGAACTTTGAAACCCTTGATATCCTCCTAAAGAAAATTAAATTTATAGCTGCATGGATGGAGGCAAACTTCTTGTCCATACATATGTCTTAAGTATTGAGTACGACTGCATATTATCATTCATACAATATTTACTTTAGAATGATATTTTACTGTGTTTAATGACATCGGCTATATTATTGATTTTTCAGGTTCACGAATAATGTGCTCAGCACTGCACAGCAAGTATGGTTACGCAAAATGGGTGGTGCAAAGCTTGTTGTGAATGAGAATGCTAGTGGGATCATCGGTGATGGACGTGCAAAACTATCAGGTGCTCAGCCAGAACAAATGGGTGATAGGTTTGTTCCTCATTTTAAGTCTTTACTATTTGTATTCTGTTATTTTAGTAATTTTTTATTGAATGTAATTATTTCTAATAATTATTTCTAGTACATATTTAGGCAGTTGAAAGAAGATGAGAACAAGAAAAAGAGTAGGGCGCTGCCTACAGACGAGGGTCAAACTTTACTTGCACCTGACTCCGAAGAAGAGTCAAATGAAGAAACTAAGTCCAAGGTAAATGTTTCATGTCAAAAGTTTGATGGTAAATTGGATAACATTTTAAAATTAAAGACTTATGAAAAATAATGCATTGTTTGACTTGATTTGATTTATTTCTTTTTCATGCGTATTAGTTAACTTAGGAAGTTTTTCTTTTGAGTTATTTTCCTCTATGACCTTTGAACAATAAGTAGGTGAATGGTTCATCATGAGGTTGGCCCATCACAACAGAATACTCATTGCTTTGCAGCATTTTTTTGTTGCTCTGTATAACCTACTTAAACCTCATTTGTTGCGCCTGACCACCAAGATGTTATTACTACACTGCGCCATGCATGGGTAAACATGCATCTCATGGGATTTATTACAAAGCCCAAACATTAACTAAGTGAACAACTAGTAATTGGAAAATTTCTTCACTTCAATTCCTTGATAGAATAACACCTATACAAATCTAACTCCGATATGAAGTTAAACTAAGCATATCTAAACAAATGCAATGAGTGGAGTACGCTCAGGCTCATATACTAGTTTGGTATGCTATTGTTCAATCATCTTAGCTTAAAGTTTAAGTTGTTAAAGAAATGACACATTTATTTATTTAAATATAGTCTTCAACACGCCCCTCACCTACAGGCTGTAGTCATTTTTCATCAAAGGCTTTGATACATGCACAATTTTCTTCCTAGTTTCTTTGTTTGCCCTAATTCCATGTTGAACAACCACCTCATCTCAAGTAGGCAGGGAAATGGCACATTTATCTATTAGAATTTAGTCTTCAACAGTTACATTTTATTGATATGAGACAACTTGAATATATTCAAGTTCTCTTTGGATATCTGATCCCACAACATGCAGACAGGAGGCCCTAAATGTTAGAGATTTTATTGCATGAATAATAAAAATGATTAATTTTCCATTTTGGATGTTACTTAAAGCTTGTATTCAAAATCTGATTAACTTTCCCTGCAGGATGAGGAAATTCTGGTAGAGGCATATGCTTCTAGCAGCACTAAGTCAGTTCCTTCTGGTCCAAGGAAAAATAAGAGATCAAAGCGGAAGCGCACTGTATGAAATTGTACATTGGTTTTGTAGTTGCTAGAGAAGCTTGCATATTTCGTAAAATCATGAGGTAGTGGATATATAGCTGCCCTTTGGACGTTGGTCATCAGTTTAAGGGCATGCTTTCTTTTTGAAACGGTCCCTCATCTCTCAAGTGTACCTCATTTATAAAAATTACACGTTTCACAAATTTGCTATTAGTAGCGTGGCAAGTGAAATGTTACTTTTAATTATCATGCTTGAATATGAAGTGTCCCTAGGGGTTTCTCGATTTGAGGACAACTCCATCTCTTGGGAAGCTATCTAAGTATATAGGCTCGCCCTATCTCTTGCTTGTAAGAATGAGTTGGTGAATTTTTTGAAGCAAGATGAGAATTTGAATGTGTATTATCAGTGTTGAGAACATGTATAAAGGTCCAAAAAGGTAGCTGGGAACAATATTCTGGCTGAGGCGATCAGACAATTTGGTATCTTTGTAAATTGACTTGTTCTCTTTCATGATAGACTTGAGTTGAATTCTTCTCAGTCTTCACTCTTCATTGCTTTCATGAGTCCTTTTTGTTGAAAAACTTCGAGAATGTTGTGCGGTAATTTAGATAGCAAATAAATATTCGGACAGAATTTCGACTTATAAAATTAGCACAATAAATTAGAATGAATAATGGTCGAGGTAAGAGTTCGACTCTTTCTCCTTAAGGCGAAAATACCTCGCACTGGTGCTAACGGTTTCCTTGCACTCGTCTCCCAAGATACGACGACCTCGACTTGTAATAACAGCACTCTAAATTACAAGACCCTATAAACCTATTAATATTGGATCTCTCGAGAATCAGAGGACTAAAATGCACGAAATAAATGCAAATATATGGAATATTGCAAGGCGGAAGGACAATATTGTAGGAGAAGGGAAGTAGAATAAATTTTTTGGAGTGAATAAAATCGGAGATCTAGGGTCTATTTATAGAAGTTGAAAGGTTGTGTCCAAAAGACACAACAGTCGAAAAGTTGTCTTGAAACATATATAACTCATTTGGATAGGCAGTTAAAATTGTCACCAACCGCCAGTTTCTAGAAGAACCTACGTGTTTCACACAGAATATTCGGGGAAAAAAATATATAATAAAAATATATTATTTAATTAATAAAATAATATAATTAAAAACATTATTTTATCAAAAATATATATACCAACTGTGTCAAGCCCATGGACCTGGGCCCGTGCCGAGCCGACCGATCGGAAGGACGGCGGTGCGTGGGCTTTAACTGAACCTACTAACATGTAGGTCCTCTTCCCTCTAAAGACTAGTGGTATCCCTTGGGGCCCAAACCCAAGTCCTTAACTTGAGTTATATAAAGTGGTTTTCATTCTTCTAGTTTTCCTATGTGTGATTGACACTTTCCAATTTTTCACCAATTTTTATTCACAATTTATTTCAACTTCAAGTGGTCATCTTTTGGCTTTAATTTCTCATTCATCCTTAATTAGTTTTGAAAAATAAATACATATCAATTCTACTCATGGAGTAGAATGCACTTGGCCATATAAATCATTTATCCAACTAACGGGACTCACTTAAATAATTGGTCAAACCAATTAATTATTCCAATTTTCCAACAATATCCTACTTGAATAGAAATTAATGCAATAGATGATGCAGACTCTAACGAGAAATCAGGCGGAAAGTTATTGCATTTGGATAGGTACCTTATGGGTTTGAACCTTCCATAGTAGTATACTATCGGATTTACTTGGCTAATCATTGAATGTGATGTCTTGAACTGTCAGCCGTTATTCTAAACCAGGACAGTAGCATCAACACAATTACCTCCCTAATATTTTCCAGTTCTCACCATCGTGTTCATTTTGGCCCTGAACAACTCTTGGATTTCATAAGTGCTTTAAAGAATTCAAGCCGTTGAAACATTCTCATGGAAGCGGCCCCACTTCCCACGTATATAAGTGATTTCCTATTGAGAGTACCTGTCATACTCCACTTGGATAGTTCAAGATATAGGAATCATTAAAGGCATATCTTAACATATGACTTTATGCAGATAGCACTTCTCTTATCATATGAATGGGTAGGGGTAAACTCCGAAGTGCTTTTCGAATTTTCATAACTTAGTTGTCCCATTGAACCAAGATTTTGGGATCTCCAGTCAGCAATGTTAGGTTATCATTACAAAGATCCTTACTTAGTAGGCTTTAAGCCCATTCCCCTTAATAAGCAATACATTTGATCTCTTGGCAAACCTTTTGTGAGCGGATCCACGAGATTTTCTCTAGATTTCACATAATCTACGGAAATGACACCATTCAAGATCAACTGCTTAATTGTATTATGTCATCGACGGATATGTCGAGACTTATCATTGTACATACTACTTTGTGCTCTACTGATAGCCGACTCACTATCACAATATATACTACCTGTAGGCACAAGTTTAGGCCAACATGGAATATTCTCTAAAAAATTACGAAGCCATTCTGCTTCTTCTCCATCTTCATCTAAAGCTATGAACTTTGATTCCATCGTGGATCGAGCTATACACGTTTGTTTAGATGATTTCCAAGATACGGTCGCACCGCCGATGGTAAAGATATAACCACTAGTGGATTTTGAGTCTTTTGTATCTGATATTCAATTAGCATCACTGTATCCTTCTAATACAGCTGGATATATTGTATAATATAATCCAACATTTGAGGTGTATCGTAAATATCTAAGAACCCTTATCAATGCCTTCCAATGGTCATTAGTTTGATTGCTTGTGAATCTACTAAGCTTGTTCACTGCATATGCTATGTCTGGACGAGTGCAGTTGGTAATATACATTAGATTACCTATTATTTGAGAGTACTCCAACTGATATACGGGTTTGTCTTTATGTTTGGCCAAATGTAGACTTAAGTCTACTGGAGTTTTAACTGGACTTTCATCATATACATGAAATTTCTTAAGCACAGTCTCAATATAGTGAGATTGAGATAGAACAAGTCCCTCAGATGTCTTAAGGATTTTAATTCCTAATATTACATTTGCAATACTCATATCTTTCATGTTAAAATGTTTTGTCAACATTTTCTTGGTAGTTATTATGATATCATGATTACTACTCATTATTAGCATGTCATTAACATAGACATACAATTACATATGCACTGGGTATGGTCTTAACATAAACACATTTATCACATTCGTTAATCTTAAATCCATGTGACAACATAGTTTTGTCAAATTTTTCATGCCATTGTTTTGGTACTTGCTTTAGTCCGTATAGTGACTTAATGAGTTTACACACCTTTTTCTCCTGCCCAGGAGCAGTGAACCCTTCAGGTTGTTCCATATAAATTTCTTCGTCTAGCTCCCCATTTAAGAAGATTGTTTTGGCATCCATCTGATGGATCTCCACATTATGCAATGCTGCGATTGCAATTAATATTCTAATAGATGTTATTCTTGTTATCGGATAGTATGTGTCGAAAAAATCAAGACATTTCTTTTGTTTGAACCCTTTAGCTACCAATTTGGCCTTATAAATATCAGTTGATCTATCAGTTTTTAATTTTCTCTTGAAAATCCATTTATAACCTAACGATTTGTTACCTGGTGGAAGATCTACCAGCTCCCATGTATGATTCTGCATAATAGAATCAATTTCACTATTGATAGCCTCTTTCCAGAATGGAGCTTCTGGACTTGACATAGTTTCATTAAATGTCCTAGGTTCATTTTCTAACAAATAAGTTAGAAAATCTGGACCAAAGAATGTAGCTATTTTGAACCTTTTACTACGTCTTGGTTCTTCATCACTTTGATGATTACCAATTGTAGTATCATAAGTTCGTTTTTGTTAACTAATCTTTTTCCTATCCTTACAAGGAAAAATGTCCTCAAAAAATACATCATTCCTTGCTTCAATAATAGTATTTTCATGTATGTCTAGAATGTCGGACTTATGTACGAGGAATCGATACGTGCTACTATTATTGATATATCCAATGAATACACAATTGATGATTTTTTGCCCTATTTTAACTTGTTTAGGTTTTGGTACTTCTACCTTAGCCAAATACCCCCACACTTTCAAGTATTTGTACGAAGGTTTATGACCTTTTCATAACTCATAAGGAGTTTTGTTCTTACCTTTGTGTGGTAATTTATTTAAAATGTGGTTTGCTGAGAGGATTGCTTCCCCCCCCCACAAGTTCTGAAGTAAACCAGAACTGATTAACATAGCATTCATCATCTCTTTAAGAGTACGATTTTTGCGTTTAACAATACCATTTGACTAAGGTGAATACGGTGCTGTAATTTG